ACTTGCTCAAGCTGATCTCCTGTATTTGAGACTGGTTGTCTCTGTTCTCTGGAGGCACCTTGTAATCCCTCTGTTGAGTAACTATCTCTGTGAGTCATTCTGAAGACACAAGAGGCAAGACAGAAGAGAGGAAGAAAAGGCAAGAAACCGACAGGTGACACTTATGCCAATACAGACATAGGTCACATCAAGCAAGAACAACAGTGACGCTGCTCTGAGTACCTGTTTCCTTCCTCAAGGAGAATCAGGGTGATGAGAATGACGAGCAGCTGCTGGATGGGCAAGAGACTGTAGCACTCATGTCTGCAAATGGGCAGCTTGGAAGCTGCTGAATTTAGTACTGTTAATGAAGATCCTCCTGAGAAAACTATTCTCCAAGCATGCTAGGGAGCAGTGCAGGGAAGAAACAGAGCCAACATCTATTTCTGCCTGGCAAAAGCAAACAAGCAAATACACGCACCAAGATCGGTGTAGTTCTCAGAGAGTATTAGCAAAGGACAAAACTTGCATAACTGCCATAAATTATAAAAGCCTCCCTCAATCTTGGTTAATTCTCTTGTAAAAAGGGAGGGAAAAATCTGGAGCAAGTCAGCATGAAAACAATTGTGGGAGGGATAATAAAGAGACAGCACCGAGGTATCTAGTTGCTAGCCCTGATATCATTAAGTAAGTGCACTAGAAATGTCGAGGTAAATGCATAGCAGTGAATCACGGTCAGGCATGATTAACCTTGGGTAGTCTGAACTGGAAATCATTTACAAACACAAAGGTACTGAAGAACATCACAACAGACAGTACATCGAAAGTCATCCCAAGAGCGGGAGTCTTGCTGAGTGCTTTGCGTATTTGTGCCATTTTTGAATTATTGTCATATTTTGCACGTGGGAGGATGGAAGGTCGCAGACCCCCAGCTCGGGGAGGAGTTTCTATGGAATTGCAAGGTCCTCTGAAACATGTGATCTCGTTGGAATCACTTTTCCTTGCACAGAAGTTTTATAAAATTAAAAGTTTTAATTGCAGTGACTCAAGGTTTACTGAAAGGATCCGTTTTTTGCCAAAGAAAGACTAAAATCCTGTATCTGAAAATATTAAAGAACAAAAGAGCACTCTTTCTTCATCCCTGCCCCACCCCTTACTGCAGCCCTTCAGACTATAACTGGTAAAACCAGAGGGAGAAAGGATTTGAATAAAAATTAGGTGGTTTTAACAAAATCTGTGAAAGTTTTCTGATCATCGAAAATTGAACCTTTTATCACAAAACCAAAAGAACAAAACATTGCCGGATATTTGTGAACAGTCCTAAAATTTTAGAAATGCACAGCAAAGCTGTAACCAGATGACCCATAGAGAGCTATATATATTGAGTACAACAACAACAACAACAAAACCCCTTCAAATCCAGAATTCTCATGGCTTTAAAAGCATTCAATTACAAGGAACATGTATCAACTGGGGAAGACTCCAGACAGCTTAACACCTTTGTATTGTTTGCACCTTTTATTGCAATTCTTCAGTGCCAGCTCAGGTGATTATTGTGCATGCTGAGGTGGTGAAGGCCATAGGAATATCGTGCAAAAGGATACAGCTCTGCTCAGACTTCCTCCCCGCTTTTGCATCATTCTTATTCTCCTACATCCATCTCAGTTATCTCTAGCATTGTAATAACTGTCCTTATTTATCTGCCTCATTAGGATGTTGCATCAATTAATGTGTATCATCTAATGCATACCGGTTTCTTAATGTTTAATATTATTATCAGTGGAGAGCTATGTCATACCAAGCCTATCTAGGGAGTTAATGCATACAGGAAAAAAACCCTATGCAGAACGCTATTCAGAATGACGCATTTACCATACCCAGACCCCTCCAAACAGACCACCACATGTCCAACACTCTAGGTTCCTATACTCTCAGAAGTTACGGGTAGCACCTTTGGCCCTGGGGCTGCAGCTCTCAAGGTTATATCTGTTTTTGAGGACCTGGAGACCAGTGCACGAGGCAGGAGGAACGTCTTGAGGGGAGACTTCATGTAAATGCTCAGTTCACAAATGCCTCACCGGCTGATTCAGGAGGGTAATCAACCTGTCCTTTGAAGCTGCATAAATAATGCTTGGATGGAGGTAGTAAATCTGCACCAGGGATGAATTAACTGCCATTGAGTCATATAAGCTTGGCTTGAGTGTGTGGCTTGTAACATGCCTGAGGAAAATAAAAAAGACACTTGCAAGAAAGAAACATTAATTTGCTCCTCCCTGTCTTTTCTGTTGTTTTTATCTAGGCCAACACGACTTGCTTTGCGTTTTTTTTTTTGTAGCTGTTTGTTCCATTTTCACAGTGAAACACTGATTCACAGTGAAACAAATCCACAGTTTCTCCTGGTCAGGTCTGAACATGCCTCCTCTCCTACATCAGTGTCGCTCCTTTTTAGCAGCCCTGCCAGGAGATGCCAACTGAATTCCTTTGACACTCTCTGGAGAGCGACACCTCGCAAGAGGGTGCAGGTTTTTTACCTATGGAGACCCCTGGCAGCGTTCGTGTCCTCTCACACACCTCTCCCCTTGCACCACCGCCGCTGGCTCCCAGCTGCGTGCCTGGGCACTGTTGGGGCTCTTGTCCAGCTGTGCAATGGGCTGGTCTTCTCCATGTACACAGGGGAAGAGTACATCCATTACTGTAGACAGACGCAGGCATATGAGCTCACACATCCACGTGTACGCATACACTGCAGGTCCTTCTGGTCATGCATCTTGTGCACAGGTGCGAGTGCTACAACCCCAAAAGAACAAAGTCTGTATTTATGCATGAGAACCAGGGGTAAAAGCCTGTCCTAGAAGATGGTGGAAAAGAGAAGAAACCCAGGGAAGGCCAACAGAAGGTAGCTGAAAGGGAACTGGGACATCAGTGTGCACCTACATATCAACATGAGTTAATTTACTTCACTGTAACACTCAGGTATCCAGCCATCTGATAGCACATACATTTTAGTTTACTAATAGCGTTTGCTTGTAACACTCTCCCTTCTTTCTCATTTTGAGTGTCTGACCTCTGGTTTTCTCTTCCACTGCTCTCCGTTTTATTATCTTTTTCTGAAAATTTGGCGTTTGCAGTTTCTTTTCCTCCTTCTTAGCTGTATCCCTCTCATCTTCTTCCTCCTCTTTTAGCACAGCACTTGCTGGTTACTTTCCTCTCATCTTCTCCTTTCTCTCCTGCCTCCTTTTCCACACAAACAATTTCTCTAACTAGAGGGGCCTCTTCTTCTTGAACACAGTCATTTATCAGTGGTAACCAGCTGTTCTAACTTCTAAAAATTGCTGTGGGAACCAATATCTGCTGTGGCATAGCCTTAGCGTATAGTAATAATATAAGATAAACATTATAAATATACTATATCTAGTAGACAGCACAGTTTCAGAAGGTGACACTAAGATCTCTTATTAGGCAAGGAACTTTTCACACCTAACCAGATTCTGAAGCCTGCTGTATCTAATACAGCACACTATATGATATAGTATGTAGCCTCAAACCAAAACCACAAATATATTGGGCTGTATTCTGGGTTCTGAGATACCCCTGTTGTGGGTTCAGAGGTCTTACAGGACTTTAATCCAATGAAGGGATTAAAGAGAAGAAAGGAAAGTAAAGAACATTCCTCATCAATAAAATACCATCTAACTAGAAAAAACACTTTGGAGGACACTCACATCTTACATATTGTTAAATATCGGCAAAAATAAATGTGTTCATTTCTCCAAAATACCTCCAGATGGCATTAAAACCCTTCTTCTTTTGGTCTTTATTGTGATATTATTTTAAAAAATGATAATTATTGGAATCATTCTATTAACCATTCCCAGCAATCATACTATCAGAAGGCGTAAGGCTGCTAATGCTTAATTCATTTATTTAGTTTGGCTAAATATGCTAACGTACTGTAATTACATTCCACAACACAATCTGCAGGACAAGCCATTTCTTACACCATGTCAAATCTTTTTCTAGATTCATTTCCAGAAGATTTTTAATGTGTATTTGCAGCAGAAATCAAAACATCCCACAATAAATCACCGTTATTGTACCTCCTTCTGTGACTGCTTTTGGCCATATAACAAATGGTGACACCTTGCAAGATTTACATGATATAATGCTCTGAATTTAAATAACAGGAATCAGAAAATATAAATTATGGGCAAGATGCACTCTGCACTCTAAAATTCACATGACTGACTGTTACAAGAACTTCCCTCCCTCAAATGAGATTAAAAAGGTGAATGGTTTTGCAGAAATTCATAATGCTCCTGCCTGGTAGTTATTAAAGGAATTCACTTATCTAGCTCAGTTTGGGAGACTGATGTTTTCGGGTTTCTTTTTTTTTTTTAACTTGCAGCCCATCTGTTTCATAGACTGGTTTATGTTGGCAAAACAATTGAGTCCTTTGTATACTAGAGTTAAAAATGGTAAAAGCTTCTATTGTTGCACTAGAGTGAAGGTGAACACTGATATATTACAAGTGCCTGTTCCTATCTATTTCTCGACTTCTTTTGTTAATTCAAAAACATCAACAAAATCGTGAGAGACCAGAGATAGCTGTAATTGGATTTCAAGTAATTCAGAGGTGAAGCTGCAGACTGCAGTCTTTTAAAATTACATCAGTACATCAAAGGCATATGTGACATGATGTTTTTTAGCAAGTGTGACAAACTCCAGCAGCATTAAGGTAATGTTGAAGTCAGGGTGCAAAGGCCAGCCTCGCACACCCACAAAAACCGACTCATAACTATTCAGCACGATATGGAGCCATTTCACTTGCAAAGATCTCTGACTCGCTAGCATGCAAAAGTTCTAGGAATAATTAATGTTTAGTCATTATCTAAAAAGCCATTTTAAAAAAAGCATCAGTGAAAGCACTTTATCGTAATGAAAACAAACAAATTCTATTTTGCCCAACAAATCTGATAAAAACACAGCTGCATTCTCCGATCTTAAACGCAAAACTGACTTACGATGTATGGGTTGCGCTTTTCTCTGGACTCTTTGGCTCTACATCACCTTTCCCTTCAAAAGAGAAGAAGAAAATGACATCAGAAATGGGTCAATATGGAAACTGCTCAGATGTGACATGTCGACGCTTTATTCATTGCTAACACTGACCACTCTTGCCACACGTGCAGACCGCCGCCAAGGCAGTCACAGGGCTGCGAGGGCACTGCTGGAGCATTTGCAAGCAGGGAGTCAACCCTGACTTGACTTTTCTTGTCACTGCCACATGTACTCTGGAAATGTCAGGCAAGGAAACTCCACAAGAGAGGCTGCTTAGAGGACACACGCTTTAGCAGGGACAGCAGACCTTGGAGCAATGGAAAGGATTTCTCTTGGGCTCTACAGCTCTGCTATTGAGAGCACACCCCATCTAATATGCATGTGCTCCAAAACCCTGCTCCAGGAACAGTAATTATTTCATACAAAGCAAAACAGCATCAGCGGGAGCTAGTAAGGCAGTGATTAGGACACAATTCTGCCAACGGATGTTTTGGTTCACATTAATTTTGACAGCTTAAGGATCCAATCTTCAGCTCCTGTAAGTGAAGGCTGGGGAAGCCCTCTTTGCTATGTTGTATATTTTGGCTTTGGCACTCAACCCCAGGAGAAGTCAGGTAACCAAACACTTGAGAAGTATCAGAGGCCTAAGGGATGCCTCTTCACATTTCTTTATGACTCACATGGGGCCTGGCATAGCATGTTGGCTTGTGATGATCCCCTTCTTGGGTCCACAATCATATATCTGCCCAACACAACTTAGTTATATAGCACAGACACCAATGAAGCTGGCTGCTAGCTGATGGGGTGGTACTGCTTCTGCTCAGTCAAGCCAAGTCCTTCTTCCTTTCTGCCCCGGCCCCCCAAAAAGTAAGACTGATGTCGTTTGCTGTAATTATTGCTCTCCGAGTAACCGAGAGAGCTGCACTTCAGTGTAAGATTTTTGTTTAGCTCTACCGTGGAGGTACAGGGTATGCCACTCGAATCACCTTGAACTTGAATTCTGGACCTAGCGACTGCACAGCTGCTGCTCCTCTTGTGTGTCGCTGGATGCTAATAGCTGTCTACACATGAGTTTATGTTGCCTAGCAGACAAGGTGGCACAGAGGTTGAGTGTGACTGGTTTACTGATGGATGTGTTTTTCTCCATTACCTTTTAATGAGCTTTGTTAAACAAAAATCCACCTGTGCATTCTGAAAAAAATATAGGAAGTGCTTATTTTGGTCAGGCTGCTTCGGTGCTGTCTGATTTTCTGCTCATTGACTTGAGTTGAGCAGGTTTTGGATCAGCCCCCAACCTATTCCATGCACATGAACATTATGTATCATCTGTATGCTGCTGACAAAGTCCTCACCTTCAGCTTCCGTACAGTGTCAGGGGGCCAGCAATGGCTATAAGGGGCACCTCTGGAAAACTTGCTGTTGCCTTTAGAAGAGGCAGGGTGTTTCTACCAATGTCCTTACACTGCTGCACAGAAGCAAGCTGAAGGACTCACTCTAGACAGTGACCTTCTGGAGGCATGTCTCTTGTAGTTCTGGGTATGGCAAACACCCTTGCCGTGGTGTTTTTAGATCTTATCCTCTGCTCTGGAAGGGTTTGTGTCAATTTAGGTGCCTAAACTTTAGCAAACAGGATGGGGGAAGCTCTGGATGACTTGAAAAACACCAATGCCTCTCCATGGACCTCTAGGAAAGCTAAGCACTTACTGCAGGAGGACAGGTAAAGGCACCTAAAATTCAGGCACAAGCGGAGCATCCACACAGGATGGAACACGTCCACTCCACAACCTCTAGGTCACTTTTCACTTTTTAGACTTCAGAGAGTATATCCAGATGATGAACTCTCTGGCTAGAAAGCTGTTGCTACAGTATACGTTTGTCAGCCTTAGGGTGCCTGGAGCCCTGGAGCTCATCTGCATGATGGTAATTCGGAACAAGAAACCAACAGTAACAGTTGGCATATATTCAAAGATTTTCTATTCGTAACTTAGGCTTTTTATAAGTGATGAATTATTACCATGAACACTGGTTTGTCTGAGTGTGAGAGGGAATATGGATTCCTGAGTGCTTTGCCAGCAGAGTTCACATCAGTTCTACTTTCAGCAATGTACGTTAATGCAGCAACAAGGGAAACAGCGTAAGTACTGTGAGGAGAGAGAAAAGGAAATCTCTGTGATTTAGCCAAACTGGATATTAATGAATTACCCTACAGTAGGCATTTGCAGCTGCTTTTATGCTAATCGTCACTTAACATATTTCTGTGCAGAGTGGAAGGACGAAGACTGTACAGATGGTAGAAACACAACAGTCCGGCCTATCAGAGTAGAAAATCTGGCCATTAATGCTTTATCAGTTCTTACCAACTTTGTTCTCACTTGACAGAATCATAGAAATTTTAAAAATGTGTATAGACTAAGTATAGTTGAGTGTCACAGATACGGTACAGCTAAGAGTTTTGGATAAGCCTATGTAAAACGGAATTACCTGTCAGAACAAGTTGTTTTTTTCGCACTCACTTTTTGCCACACTAAGATTTGCTTTCCATTTCCCTTGTAACCTGCCAAATGCATGCAGGTGCTGTTGCTGGCATTTGCCATATTTCTAAATCCTCTCTAGCTCTGGCTTCTTCTTATGGGCAAATTTGCGTTGTCCTTTGTTTTTTTTTTTAGTCTTTTTGGAATTGACAAAGAATATGCTATCCACCTTGCTGTGGGACTGCTGCCAGCACACTTTATTTCAGGTGCTAAGCACTCTGTATGTCTCCTGAAACAGGTGTGGATGTGTGGGGTGTGTCTGTGTGCTGATGTGTGTATGCACACACCTCTAGAAACACACAGTGGAAATCATCAGTGTCCAGATCCTTAGCCACAGAGCTGGAGTTCTTTGTTAGTTTCTATGTCATCTCACACAACTCCTTTCATAATTTTTTTAGACACAACCAGAGGAAACGTGTCCAGATTTCTCCCATTTAAAAATAAATTTCAAACTAATTTTTGTAGGATTTCCCCATTGAGTAGTGAGTGGTCAGAGGAGTTTTCTCTCCCCTGAGTTGGAATTTCCGTGAATCATTCAACCTAACCAGGCCAAGGTTCCCTTTCTAGGTAAGAGGGATAAACAATATTTATTGTGACAGAGCAGTAGAACTCCAGCCATTATAGGTTTTTAAATGCTTTGGTTTCCTTGTGAGGGAAGGATGATAGAAATGCAAATGTTATCCACAAGAAAGACAATGACTGCAGCTGGAGTAAAACCATTGCAAATGACAGGCTCAAGAGCCACTCCAAGAAGACATGGTGCAATGGGAAATAACAGCTAATTTGGACTCTGAAGATGTGCATTTGGATAACACAGTACATAGACCATTAGATTTCTTTCCCACATAGGGTCATTTGCTAGCATTTCCTCACATCCCGTATTGGGTCTGTGTGGCGAGGTTTTGGTAGCAGGGGGGTTACAGGTGTGGTTTCTGTGAGAAGCTGCTAGAAGCTTCCCCTACATCTGACAGAGCCAAGGCCACCTGGCTCCAAGATGGACCTGCTGCTGGCCAAGGCCGAGCTCATCAGTGACGGTGGTAGTGCCTGTGGGATAAAATATTCAAGGAGGAAAAAAACTGTGCAATTGCAGCCACAGAAAGGAGTGAGAATATGTGAGAGAAGCAACTCTGCAGACACCAAGGTCAGTGAAGAAGGAGGGGGAGCAGGTGCTCCAGGTGCCAGAGCAGTGATTCCCCTGCACCCTGTGGTGAAGACCATGGTGAGGCAGGCTGTCCCCATGCAGCCCATGGAGGTCCACAGTGGAGCTGATATCCACCTGCAGCCCATGGAGGACCCTGTGTTGGAACAGATGGATGCCCAAAGGAGGCTGTGACCCCTTGAGAAGTCCCTGCTGGAGCAGGCTCCTGGCAGGACCTGTGTCCTGGGCAGAGAGAGGAGCCCACGCTAGAGCAGGTTTGCTGGCAGGACTTGTGACCCCACGGGGGACCCATGCTGGAGCAGCCTGTTCCTGAAGGACTGCACCCTGTGGAAGGGACCCACAGTGGAGTAGTTCATGGAGAACTGAAGCCCGTGGGAAGGAGTCACATTGGAGAAATTCATGGAGGACTGCCTCCCATGGGAGGGATCCCATGCTGGAGCAGGGGAAGAGTGTGAGGAGTCTTCCCCTGAGGAGGAAGCAGCAGGAGAGACAATGTGTGATGAACTGACTGCAACCCCCATTTTCTGTCCCACTGTGTTGCTTGGGGTGGGAGAAGGTAGAGAACTCACGAGTGAAGTTAAGGTAGAAGGGAAAGGTGAGGGGGGAGGTGTTTTAAGACTTAGTTTTTATTTCTCCTTACCCTACTCTGATTTGATTGGTAATAAACTAATTTCCCCACCTTGAGTCTGTTTTGCCCATGATGGTAATTGGTGAATGATCCCTCCCTGTCCTTGTCTTGACCCACAGGCCTTTTGTTATATTTTATCTCCCCTGTCCAGTTGAGGAGGGGAGTGATAGGGTAGCTTTGGTGGGCACCTGTCATCCAGCCAGGGTCAAGCCACCACACATCCAAATAATTTTTCTCCCAAATTTCCTTTGAGTTTGACACACAGGACTGGTAAAGTCTATGTCTTATTCTAACTGTGTTTTATTCTATGTCTTATTCCAGCACCTTGACAGGAATCCTCACAGATACAGGTCTCAGAGGTAGTGAAATTCCCTCTGCAACATTAGGAAAGGTGTCTGGGTGTCTGACAGCAACCCTAACTTTTGTTACCAATGAAAAAAAGTGTTTCTGCATGGGTTCAGCTGTTCTTTGGTTTGGTTGCAATCAGCCAGGCAGTACCAAGTGCAGCTTTAGCCCAGCTGCAAATATATGCTGATTTTGCTGAGCAGGATGAATGATGAGATGAGAAGCTGGAGGTGCTGTGGTGCAGGAGGGCAGATGGGGGAATCAGAAGTAAAGTAAGGTCGGAGCAAGTAGCAGAGGAAAGTTGTAAGGAGGTAGGACCAACGTCCTAATCCACAGGAAAGCAGATTTCATTAGTTCTGCAGAACAACCTATTTTATGCAAGTATTGAAAGAAGGAAATACTCAAAATGAAACTATGACCAAACACTGTGGCCTCTGATGTCATCACGAAGCCCTCAGCTTAGCCGGTGTGTTTGTCATGCTCATGACTCTGTGTGAGTGTTTGCATAGCCCTCTCTATTATGGCCTTTTTGTGCTTCCTTCTCTCATTACTGTATTCATTATTTTCTGACTGAACCTCATCCCCTTTGCCTTTTATTATTTCCTTAGTGCTGGTACTCACAGCAATATCAAACCGATGCCAGCAATTAAGTGACACCACTGCATGTTTCTTCACAACATTGTCTTCCACATGCTGACCTTTCCCCAGCAAAGAGCCACACTATTTTAATAGCCTACATCTCCCAGCCTTGTCTCTCTGGATGCCTTTTCCCTTACGCAGTGGGTGACCAGCTACTTTCGAAGCCCTACCTACCAGCTCAGGGCATTTTTCATCTTCAGTCACAGCCCTGTAATTTGCAAACAGGGCTCTGTGCCGGCTGACAGGTCAGGAAGCTAGCAAAATAGTTCTTTTGGTTGAGATGATTTTATGTTGAGAGTCGTATAGGTTCATGTATTTTTAATATGCAAGACAACATTAACAACAGTCAAAGGTGTCAGGGGAGAGGATTAATATTTTGTTTTGCAGAACAATTCAATCTTTCCTTTCAATACAGCTGTTAAGTTTTTTACTGTAACTAAATGTAATTAAAGTGCGGCTGATCTGCACCATGATTTGTAAATTGGATCCACTGAGAAGCCCCAACCAGCATCCACACAAACACGCATTGCTCCCCTGCCCACAGTGTTAGTCAAAAAGACCCATGGCCATATGGTCTTTCAGACGTTATTTGGTGTTAATTTGGCAGGATTTATGTAGCTTATTACTGAGCAATAGCCACAAAATATACCATTGCCTATGAAAGACAAATGATAACAAGTCTTCCTGCAGAATTTTCTGGCAGTCTGGATCTGGCTGTGCAACTAGGTCAGCTCTTTTCTGGCTTTCTAAAAAAGCCACTCTTTTGCCCTTTCAGTCTTTCTCATCTATATAATGAAATGGCCATAACGAAATTAATCCCTTTTGTTCTTCCCAGTCCACCAAAAGAGCTGACGTTCTGACGGTCACTCTTCAATTCAGTTCTCCACATTTGGCCATAGCTGAGCTCTGCCTGCTGAGGCTCTGTGCTGTCCCAGTCTGCTACTGATTCCTCACACTATCAGTCACTTGTTTTTCACAGTCATTGTCATCCCTTCCACCCAATGCAGCCAAAAAATGGGTTGGTACTTACTTGTATTGCTGTGTCCTGTAGATCCCTGTTGTGACTCCTACAGTAATAATAGAAAAAAGGTACAGTGTGTTATTATTTATAGCAATTTTTAGCTGCAATACTTGCTTGAACATTACCTTAACCATACAAACAGCGTTGTTAATTGTTCATTCGGTTTCAAAGTAATTTTCAATTACAAGAATAAATCCAATATTTCTTTGAAAATCCATTAATTCTAAGGCTTGTAAACTTATTTCACAACAATCCTTTAATGGTGCAATTCCTTGTATAGCTTTTATGACTCTCCTGCTCACTATTCATTTATCGATCAGCCAAAACTCGTCTATTATCATCTACAAGTTTAGATGAGGAGACAGAGGGAAGACCAATATTGTTTCATGGACCATTGGATTCCTGAGGTAGTAGCACAGCTGGTCTTTCCTTTTCACATGTTGATATTGACAGCACCAGAGAATGGAAATACAGACTTTAGTTCTGGGTCCCTGAGATTACAAGGTCAACCTCGTATCACAAGTGCAATATCTGTGATTATGGTGCAATAAATCAGACAATTTTTTCCTCATGTGCAAATGTCCACATATTTTACTCATGCAATTTGTCTACATTCATAAAAATATAAAAGAAGCCTATAAGTAGATGGGAAATACAAATACAAACTTTAACAAAAAGATATTTAAATAAGGAAAAGAAGAACACTTTTCTATCGATGACAGCAGGGAAGGCGTCCCGTATGTAACTCTACTTCTGAATAACCCAGACACATACAGGAATACCACCTCGTATACACGCTGCAGTTACAGCTGCGATAAAGACTGACTGGGGAGGCCAGGCACCCACAGCAGCACACCCGGTCATTTTTGATGAGGAATTAGGTGCTGGATGAGATCCCTGATCCACAGAGACTGCGCAATGAGCTGAAGGCACAGCTCATCAAGAAAGGAACTGCAAGTCCCCAGAGAGCTCATGGGTGCTCCGACTCAGCTGAGCTGAGATTTTGCACCAATTGCTGCGGAGTCAAGGCTCTCCAGACTGCATGGCTTTGATCTGTAAGTTTTATGCAGTAATACACATCTGCAATTCACTGCCATCCTACGCACCTGAAATACGAGACATCAAATTTCTGGGCAAGCTCTAAGAGTTTCTGCCTTCAACTGCAGTATGAAAAGATCTGTACCATGTTTCACATGTCGACAATAATTTCTCAATAATTTGAAATTGTCTACTTTTGACAAATTGCCTCAGCTTTTTGTGAATGCTTCTGATGAAGGGATATTAAAGACTGTTTTTTTCTGGTGACTGAATGTAATCTTAAGAAGTCAGGATCAGCTTGCAGTGGTGATATAGTGACATGTACACTTGAATTTAAATGCTATTCCAATAGCCAACCAGCCTGCCAATAAAGGTGGGCTTTTAGAGCATGTTCAGTTTCCAGAATAGTGAATTTATGTACCTAGAGAAGTTTTGGGAAAGACAATAATTTTGATGGAAATAACCTTGGGTTTTTAAAAGTGTTTGAAACCGCTAAACAAGGATCTCGCTCACTCTTACTCATTTTCATTGACCTCAGGAAGAATGCACCCTCCCCTTTAACTGCCTAGCACAGTATCTTACCTCTGCCATTGGCTCTGCATAGTCTCAAATTTGACATCAGCAAAATATATAAGCTATCACATTTCCACTTTTCAAGTCATTCTTTAAAATAAGTGTCTTGCTTCTCATCAAACTATTCTTAATTAAAAAGGCTAATACAAAATCTCATAGCGAAATAGAGAATTGTCCCACTGAGGTAGAAAAAAAGTACGCTTTATGTAACTTAAAAATCAAAGGTGAAGTCTTCACTTCTGGAGATTATTTTCCAGTGTATTTTCTCCAGCTTGTTAAAAACAACAAGAAAGGAAAAAGTAAATGAATAAGATAAGTAAAGAATAAGATCACTATGATAACTTAGCTTCTGCTGAGAATAATCACCCAATAGCTTTGTGACAAGACACCAGTTCTCTCAGAGTGGATAAATTAATTCCCAAATAACAAAGTGATGGCTGATCCCATAATATTACATAAACATAACTAGAAATCAAACTCCTGATCAAACTTTCAAGACATGAAATCACAGTAAAAATGAAGAAAGAGGGCAAAGCAGGCAGCAGAATTAACAGCATTTTTTCCTGCACAAGAGAATTAATGCCTGAACATGAAAGCTCATTCGCACAAGCATCAAGTGAGCTCTTATTTACCAAATTTAATTATTCATTTAAAGTTTATTTATTAAGATGTTTTTAATAAAATTACAATCAAATAATGCCTGATCATTTGTACATAACGAAGTGTGACAGAGATAGGAGAAAGGAAAGCACACACAGCCTGTCACATCACACACTGATTCAATTATCCTTAAGCTTTGAAAAACAAGAAATAAAGAGACTGTCATTGCCCCTTCCTAGTAAATTCAAGAGTACAAATTAATTCCACAGAGAAAGAAAATTTAATGTTAAGGATGAAATGTAACTTTATGCCCTCTATTACATAAAGGACAATTCACTAAATACACTCTCCCAGCAGCACTGTGCTGGGAAACCTACTGGGTACTGCTGTGTGTGTCAAACCTGACCTGGACTTTCCTTCCATTCTTGTGCATTAATGCAGACCTCCCATGTTAATGAGGTCTGATTTCATATACAGGTACAGCATACGCACATACATCCCCCTGATTCACAGAGCATATAGTTATATAGAAGGACACATCCACATGCGCGTTTTCAAATATGCAATTCTGTTATATTTGTGATATATAAACCTCAGTTATTTAACTTTTATCACTAGACTGATTTCAAAACCAGTCTAGCTACAGTTGCTGTGGCCTTTGCAACTTTAGTAGTCTGATTAATAAGTTTCAAGCTGTCCGATCACTGATTACTTGAGTTGCAGGTTAAAAGCTGTGTGGCATATATGGGAACTAATGATGCTGACACTCAGTTTTTATAGACAGAAAAGTAAGGATGATTTGCATCCTTGCAACAGGGCAGGAGACCTACAAGTTTCTCTTTGTCTCGTTCCCCAAATGATGAGTATCTTTACACTTGGGAACTGTCTTCTGTTAAAAAGGATTGCATCCTGCTTGCTTCTCTGGCTGGAAGAGTCATTGCAAACGAACTGATCTCTCAACACTGCCATAAAGACTGAAAATGAATTCACAGTACCATGCATTGCTTGGAACTAAGAGATGAAACCAATGCCCTGAATTTAGCCTTCTAGCCTCTTTGCTGGCCTTGGCCACTACTTAACTGACAGGCCCATTTATCTGAATAATGTGTGATCCACAACAGTTTGGTGTATTCCTTAGGTTTTAACAAGTTGGGACAGTAGCATAGCTTACCTGTGGCAAAGCTTCCTAAGAGTTATGGAGGCATCCTCTACGAAATCCAATAAAGATTTTACACCACACTTTGTGAAAAGCAACAGCTAGCTTACAAAAGTTTCAAAAACATGTTAGAAAAATTAGGAAACCATTCTTTGCATTTTGGAGCCTGAAGAGCAGATGCTTTCTAAGTCTGTGACTGTATAGTTTCAGAATAAGCCACAGAATAGCTTTTAACTATTTTAAAACATTTAAAAATAGAGGTGTGGCCAGTAATGCAGGATTTTTCAGGACTCTGGAGTGTTTTGTTAGGTACATCTTTCCCATCTCACACAAAGCACTCTAATTCTGATCATGCAAACCACAATACAGTTGTGATGTTATGTGTACAAAAGTATGCTCATATATTATTAGATTAAATCTTGTCCACCCTAAGCTTAAATAAAATGGAAATTCTACTTTGGTAAGAGATAAAGAAACCACCTAGAAAAGGCTGTTTAAAAATGAATGGTAGATCTCTGAAATAGCTCTGCATTAGAATATTAGAATATTTCCCAGAGAGATGGATGAACAGGCAGAGAGAAGACGAGACAGTCAATATCAACCATTATTCACATATCTCTGCCCTACGGTTTGTGGTTCTCCCATTCCTATATTTATCACAATACATTTAGTTGTGAGGAAGTTCATTCATGATGGCCACATAGGTACGCTGATAGGTGCATACCTTGCCCACGCATGCCTGCATGCATGCCATGAAAGCACATCGCGTGGGGATAATTATGGCAGAAGCTGCAGAGCTGCAAGCACCACTTTTTTTTGTCATCCATATCTGGGCATTTCATCTGCTTGTAAGCTGCTGATGCATCTGTCTCCTACTGGACTTACTCTAACATAACAAGCCTCTAGCCCACCTTACATCTGCAACCAGCTGTCTGCCTTCAATGAGCAAACAGACAGTTATTTCCCTTTTTTTCTTTCATGACATGGCAGACATGTTTTGGTTTACACCCCTGGTACTTCAAAATCACGACACTCTCATCCATGGAAAAGCTGTCTTACTGTAGGCAAATCTTGAAGGTTTCTTGGCTTTCTGGTTATAATTATTCCCTGCACTAAATTTTGCAGAATGGACTTAAAAGTTACCAAAGGAGCTTGCTTTAACAGGAGAAAGACTATAAACAGCATCAATAGTGTTTCAAGCTTGAATACTTCATGAAGTATGCTTGTGGCATACAAACAGATTATGGCGATACAATGTGAAATTTTTATTGCCTCTTGCATAGGATAGCTGATTTCATTCCCTTCTGACTTACCAAGTATAAATAACACGGTTTCCCCAAGCTTATGCCAATGAGCTTTAACATGCCTCAATGCGTTCTCCCTGGGATACATGTACAATACCGGAGCTAGTTTCAAGGGACTGTCAGCAGGACCAGTGGCCTTGGTCCCTTCAGGGACCAAATACTCCCCCGGCAAATCCTTCTGTGGCCCCTCTGGGCATCATGGCACTGGGTTGCCTGCCTCTCTAGCAGAGCTCCCCCTGAAGCCAGGTTGGTGGTAGGGGGTGTATGCCCACTCCTCAGCCCCCGACTGCAGAAGGCAGTGTATTAATAAAGCCCACCTCAGAACTCAATGGTTTCAACAAAGAAACGCAGGTAGCAAAACCAAATGAAGCAGGAGCAATGGATGAGAGCAGCAGCTTCTTGACTCGCTGCAGCTGTATGTGCCCTGAGGTGTCAGTCAGGAGCCTCAGCAGGTGCCTGGAGAAGGCACCATATCTGGATACTCCACCAGGGACACCTGTGGTTTTGCCTTGTGGTGAGGAACCTGTGACCCACACACCAGCATCACTGCTGCTGCCAGGAGACACGCAAACAAGCCCGGGCAGCCCTGCAGAGGCTGTAAGCAGGAAAAAAGGCAGGGGATACTGGCACAAACATGGAGAAGGTCATCAACATGGCACCAACCTCAGCCCAGAGACCTCACACGCTTAGTCAGGGCTCATGTAGGACATATTTTGAGGTGCAGGAGGTATGGTTCTACGTGATATCGACAGAACAAGGGGAAATGGCCTTAAGCTGCACCAGGGGAGGTTCAGGCTGGATATTAGGAAGAATTTCTTTACTGAAAGGGTTGTCAGGCATTGGAACAGGCTGCCCAGGGAGGTGGTGGAGTCACCATCCCTGGTGGTGTTTGAGAGATGGGTAGATGTTGTACTTAGGGACATGGCTTAGTGGTGTTGGTAGAGCAAGGACAAAGGTTGGACTCAATGATCTTGAAGGTCTCTTCCAACTGAAACTATTCTATGACCCCATGATTCTATGACATTGCATGTCTTACCTTGTTTGGGAAGGGAAACTTGCTTTGTTCTGCCTTTCCTGGTGTGTGAATAGCTGACAGTGGTGGAGGCCATGAATGGGTCATCTCCTGAAAAACAGAATTGTACAGCAAACTCTGTTTAGAAAGTCAAAGGAATGTGAGACAATGATAGTATACCAGCAAGAGTGCCTGGGTAGTGGAATATTTAAGTTACTGCAGCTTCTAGGAAATGCCCAGTTTACATATAACCTAGACAATACATAAGCTACATTAATTCTTATCATAGACTCTTCAGAGCAGTTCTTAAGCAGTTTCATTTTTCTGAAGAGTTAACACATCTTAAGTGAAAGAAGTTTGATTTTTCTGACAATCTGCAACCACATTTTAATCATGCAATGTATTCTGTCTGGTGAGACTAACAGAAGAACTTTTTTTTTGTAGTATGGGAACAGAAATTTCACTTCATGACCAAGTAATGGGGTACACAATATGGACTAATCACAAAATAGGTTTCATAGACAAGGCTAGAATGATAAATGCTTAACGCTTGCTCAATGGTTAATTCCTAAAATTGCCTTTATCATTGTAATTGCAGGCTACAGATATGTGCCAAGCCCTAAACAAGGTGTGCTGCATTCTACCTTTGTCTCCCCCCCGTGTTGTTTTGAAGGACATTTTTTAATAGCTAAGAGACTTTCATAACTTGACCTGTCTTGTATGCAGTTCCTTGACACAGCTTCAGGTAGCAGGTAGATACATGTTCAATACCATTATCATTCAGGCCTGAATGAGTTGGTCTCCAAAGCAAGGCTGCTTTTGGGGAGGTATAAATTAAACACTTCAGACAAGAAGTTTGTTAAGAGAGATGCTTCATATTCCTCTCCAGTGCAGACTGTTAAAGAATGAACATGTTTTTTGACATGTTCAGTACCAACAGCCATAATATTTGGTACACAATAACTTAACAGAACTAATACAAGAAGTAGCACAGAGCGTGACAACCCTGAAGAGTTGGCCCATAAGCTTCAAGAGCTGAAGAGCAAATAAGATCCTGCCTAAGCAGGGGGCTCGCTGACACTATCAAGAGTTTGCCTGGCAGATGCTTTGCTGGGTTTTGATACCATTAGCTGCCTGTGGAATTGTTTCTCAGTGATATTCCAAGGAGTCGTGCTGAGACCCACAATTAGTCCCCAAATAATACTGGAGTTATATTTCCATGACTCATTCCTTTTTAAAGAGAAAAGAAAACGTTCTTGTTTGAAAAAAGGTCTCTGTGAGTCTCTTGCCCATCCTTCATTAGTGCTGATGGAAGTGCTTCCTGATCTGGCACAGACTGAGCCAGGGCATTTTTTACATAGAGGAAAGTCTTCAGCTGTTCTGCCAATGAAAGGATCAGACCTCTAAACATAGTTTGTTAGTAATAAATGTCACCTTTAAAGTATTCTTAATAAACAGTTTATTTCCTAATAAAAACTGCATTCTTTTATTTTATTTGAGGCTAAAAGTTACATGATTTATTATACTTCTGTAATCTATGTGCATGCCTCTAATCAGAGAATCATCTGGTTTGCAGTTTCAGTATCAGAATTGCTTTGCTTTTCAGTTCTTTGACGCGGATTGTTCATCTTATGACTTCCGTATCTGAAAAGTGCCGGCAATAATACTATGTAGTAATTTTTAATATACAGTGAGTTCTTTACACTCAGGCAAGAAAACCACAGGCAACCAGACTGTTGTTTGCTACAAGTACCTGACACACGTGCTATTGTTTTCAAAAGATCAAGGAATTACATATTCAGAAATATTCCAACAGTAAAGCTTTATGACAATAAATTGATGAAAAGGATATTTGCAAGTGGACAGTAATCCTAAGGCTGTGATCTAAGAAGTATTGTTTTCTCACCTGCTTTTCTCTGCTTTTGCCTTACAGGACCATTTGCTTACTTTCTGGAAAATGGGATGTTGTGCATATAGACTAAAGGTGTTTCCACTGGTAAACCCCTGATCCCAAACAAAGTGTTTTTCCCTAAAAGTTGAGGTGCTGAGCCCAAAAGCATGCACAGGAATGAACTATGTGTCCCTTCTGAAGGGCAATGCTTTACGTTATCTCTGCTGATTGAAGAATTGGGGCAGCCAGACTGGGAATGTCTGGTGGCTTTGACCTAAAGTTATCCTACTTGTGAAATATGCTATTCAGTACTCATGATTTCCATTTGCCCAAGAAGCAGTTCCTCCAGGTTATACGGTGGCTGACCCCCACTGTCACCTTCAGGCAAGCATCTTCTGAGAAGTCTGCTATATGCCATGCAGAAACCAATCTGTTACAGCAGCAGAGCTCTTCCCTCCCACCTTGCCTGCCTGAGTCTTGCAAGTATGCCTTCAACCAGGGAAAGGACCAGAGGACTGATTAAAAATAAGGGTGACCTTTTTTTTTGACATGTCAAAATCTTTCATTTCTTCTTTTCCCCAAGATTATTTCTCATCCACACTTCAATGAAAAATGGACTTAATGGTCTTTTTTTTTTTTTTTTCAGTTAGCTTCTCTTCTCCCTTTTTACGTTGAGTTGTGGTATATAATAAAGCTTTCTACATAATTTAAATTTGATGTAACCCTTTCTGACACAAAGATTTAGCAAGACCACTGATATTTGCCAGGGTTAATAATTGACATTATCATGAATATCTGAATGTGAATGTACTAGAATAATATTTTGAGTTGCGAACATATGGTCTATATCATATCACTACCCTTTGGAATTCAGACAACTATAAAACGGAATTAAATTTAAAAAAAAATCAGAAAACTAACATGAAAAATACCCCAAACTATAGGTTGTCACTACTGAGGAGTGGTAAGATTTAAACGTAGTAAAATAATTTTTGAAAAGAGAAACATGTGCACAGTCTCCTTCTGGCCGCCAAGGACAGAATCTCAAAAATCAGGAGAAAGGATTTAGGTGTCCAGCAACTGTTAACACTTTGCAAGGTCAGGTAGAAACAAATCCAGAAAATGTTACCGTGTGCCAAATCTCATGATTTTGGACTCTTATCTGAAGATATCTGACACTAATTAAAAGCACTACTGGTGACATGTGATGACATCAAGATCTTTTTTTAGTACATGGTGTGAAATGTTTGAAAATGTAAGCCCAAACAGCAACTATCTAACTAACTAAACATAAGGGACTCAACTTTTATCATTAAAAGAAACTTCAATGCACAGCTTCTCTTTTCTGCTCCGCTAACTTGCCTGTCTTTGGAGTTTGGGACTCGCAGTACTGGCATAAGGCACCCACTGGACTGAAAACAATGTTTCAAATGGACTGATGAAAACTTAAATGTACTGAAGATCCTCAGCACCTTCAAACTGGTGTTAGAACACTGATTGACACAAAAGATTACTGACATCAGAAAGAGAAAAAAACAGGGATTTTTTTTTTAGCATAAATCAAACAAAAAATAAATCTGAAACACCTGGCACCAGAAAATGTTCCAGCCACTACAAGATAATGGTCTAATTTAAAACCAATTTAGATCTTTCTCCAAACTTGATTAAGTTAATGTTAAAGTCCTGAACAATGTTAATTAAAGGAAGCACTGAGAAGCCATTTGGGGTCCAGAAGTGGGGAAACCAAAGATTTCTGGATCAAAGAAGGAAGCTCTGACTAGACTGCTTAAAAATACATGTAGATAAGCATGTGTGCCCAACTGCAGGACAGCTTGTTTAAGATGACGACAACTACCCTCCTCCTCCTGTGGCCAGATGCACGAGACTGAGAGGCGGCTCCGAGACCTCCTCTTTTTTTTTTTTTTTTAACACGTATTTCTCCTTGTGAGGGTTGCAGGGATGTTGTTTCGCACTGACATCTTTGCTGTGGTGGTGATGGTGCAGCTCATTCACACACGTATTGTAACTCTACAATTCTACACGACTCCACCTGTAGTAAATCAGTTTTCAGCAGTTATACATAAATGTCCAGTTTTACAAGCTATAAAGGTCCAAGCCTAGTTAATCTTAGTCAATGTGCCAACTTGGCTTTTCTTCTTACTGAAGGGAAAACCTTCAAAGAAAGAAATCTATAGTATTGCGTATCCTTGCTCCAAATTCAGTTTCCGCAGCAACAATTAAGTAACAAGACATTTCTTGTGGATTAATGACTGCTTGGCAGTGTTTTGCTTGGGGCTTTTAACCCTAGCTTGTAGGTAATTTTTCAGGAAAAGTACCACGCAGAGGTAAATAATAGTATTCATTCTAGACTTAAGGCAATGCTATTTATCTAATGCCATCAATCTTTCTGTGTGGCACATGATACCAGGAGTGGTTGAACTGATTCAGAAAAAATTGTAATTAATAAAAGTAGGGAGACCAGTATCATCTAGATTTAAAGTCTAGCCACATGTATTATCTTGCTGTTCATTCACTGCCAAAACCAGAACTTATCATCAGGCCATTAAGAAAATTGACTGTTTAATCCTCCTCTTTGATTGTGCTCACCTAGCCAATTTTTGATTCATAATATTTTGTCTCTCCACAGATGACGATTTAAGAAATGTTTGTAGCATCTCATAAAGGACCCTGTCAAACACCTTTTGAAAATTATTTTAGCTGGCTCAACTTCATCCACTGCTCTACTGACATGTCACAGGAATTACAGGAGATTGGTGAGACAAATTTTCCTTTGCAAATACTCTGCTGGTTAGCTCATGGGGACAGCAGAGGTTCTCTCTTTGTAGTCACCTACACTAAAATGCAGATTTTAGGGAAGTATTAGATATATTTATTCAGCTGGAAGTCAAGGCAACACAAAGCTAACGCTGAGCTTTCCAAGACCCTTTAGCAAGTGATCACAGGACACAGTTTGAGAACCTCTAATCCAGTTACTCCCCTGTCTTCATAAAGTAGATTTTTTTTTAACACAGGAGACTCTCTCATTAACTGCTGTCAGTTGGCGAAGATCCCTTTCAGTTCAGTGAAGCTACACTGCCACTAGCTGACAACATGGCTATGATTTTAGTGTCAAACATCCAAAGTAAAGAGTCTGACACTGAAACTTTTGGAGACTATATTGAAGCTGACAGCATTTCACTATGATAAGGTTCCCATGATG